GTGAAGGAAGATAAGGACTGTTTTAATGTCCTTTTATCAGATCTGACAGCTTCAGAGCCCTCGGTAATTGTCTGTTAATGAGAGCAAACGAATGTTACCTCTGGCCCCTCTATCTCAGCTGCGTCACTCAGGTCACCTCAAGGGGCTGGGAGAGGGGGCACCAGGACTGGCACTTCTGGGGCAGGAAAGAAGGGGCAGTGGGAGGAAGGAGCATGAACTGGGGTGTGCAGGAGCCTCCAGCATGGCTAGTGTTTGAGCCATGGGCTGAGGAGGGCTCCCTGTGCAGGGCCCTGCTGCAGTGACAGCCAGCGAGGTGAGAGAGGGAATGTCAGGGAGAAATTTGGCACCAGGTGCCAGAAAGAAATCCTGGTTTGTGGAAAGGATCAAACCTAGAGAGACCAAGGAATGTGAGACCCTCTAGCTTAACTTTCCCTCTGGGCACATCTGTCCTGTTATCAGTTGGGATGTGAGCTGAACCAGGCTCCAGTGATTGATCCACAGAGACAGAGCTACAGCGACTGAAATGGAACAAGGAAGTTTAAACTCTGCTTTCCCACACCAGCTGGAAATTCGGAATCCCAGGCTGCCCTTTGCCCATCATGGGTTTGTGCTGTGTACTGAAGTTTTTGGCAAAACCAAGTGTCCAGCTCTAACAGCCAAAGACCTTTGATGGGCAGGAAGGATGCCAGCTCCTCCTGGAAACACTGAGAGGCTGCGGTGCCCACTTTGTGAATTGGGTGAATTCAATGACATTTGCAAGCCTTAGGAAACAAATCTTGAGGATCTTTTACCTGATGCAACCTCCAAATGTTGGTTTAATAGCTAGTCCTAAGGTGAGGTGTTTCAGGATTGGGAGAGAGCTCCTGAATCACAGTCCTGCTGTGGGACAGCACAGCCCTCTCCCTTCCCAGCCTCGCAGGCTCCTCTCACTCAGCTTTCTAACGTGGAGAAGGACTAACTTTAAGTCTCATTATTAATTTATCTCTTCTGCAGTTTACATGTGTGCAGGGGGAGGTAATCACAGAGCTGCCTTCCCTGCTGTTCTCTTCCTGAGGCTTTATACTCTCCAAATTTCTTTTTGTCATAAATCAAATTAGCTAAATTGCTTAAGAAGTACTGTTCTATTAAAAGCAAATAGCGCTGTGATACCAAAAGTTTATTATGAGAACCATGTTTTTAATAGTAATACTTTGGAATTACAGGCTTCTTAATTCAGAGTTTTAAAGTTTAAAAACTGCTCAACACTTCCCTGTGAAATAAATATTCTGGTATGCATTTACAGAGGCCTACAACATGGTACAAATGGATAAAAAGCATAAATATGGTTAAAACATTGGTTATTTTATTCACTGAAGATCCTTGGATCGCCACACAAAGCTGTAGAGCTGCCTGAAGTCTTGGTGGCCCTGAGTGGGTTTGGGAAGCTCCTGAGCCACAAAGAGTGAGCCCAGCTGGTGCCTTCATGGACTCTTTCACGGGATGCAGCGATGCACTTCATCAGCAGCTTGTCCCCTTTATTGGGAGCTGTCCCAGGAGGAAAGTGGTGTGGGGGAACAGCAAACCAGCACAGCAAGGCTCCCCAGCGTTTCAGTTTCCTTCCTGCTGGGAAAGCAGCAGCAGGGGAGGGTAAAGCCCCCCCAAAACCTGCAGTGTGTCCCAAAAGGATGCAGCACAGTGGGCTGGAGTGCTCAGCAGGGCTGCTGCTGGTGCCACGAGCACCTCTGAGCCTCCACCTGGTGCTGCTGCCCTCACTGCAAGGATGGAGGCGGTGGGCAGGAATGCTGCTTTAGTGCCCAGAAAGTACTTATTTGCAAATATTTTTTCATCTCCTTTTCCTTCCTCTTTATTCAAGTCAAAGGCTTAAGCTAAATTCATGGAAAGGCACAGAATCTGTCCCTGTAATACCCATGAAGCACGGACCCTCGGGCTCCTGGCAGCTGCAGAGCAGACCCTGGCTGAGAACCACCCTGCCTGCACCTTGCCTAGTCCTGAGCCCATTTCTGCCTCTTATGGAGCGGAGCATCCCACCAGGAACAGACCAAAATCCCCACAGGGGCTTTGCTGCAGTGGTGTGGGGTGAAATTTCCATTTTTCTGGAATATTTGCTGTGCGTCAGTGTGAGCTGCACAGCTGTGCTCTGTGCTGCTGCGTCACCAAAAATCCGTCCTCTGCTGCAGCTGCCACTTCCAGCTCATGGGCTGCTCCCTCCTTCTTATCTCCTGGCAAGGGATCCTTTCAGTCCTGCTCCAGTGCCTGTACATTATCCTGGATGAAAGAAGAAAGGCCCCTCTGCAGAGGTCTGGTCTGGTTTTCTGGGGTTGATGCTGAGACCCCCAGGGCTGGTTGGACTCCTCTGGTTCCTCTGGACAAGAAATTGCTGTTTGCCTGGTGGTGTGAACAATAAATATTACTCTGTCTCAGCTCTGTTAATCTGAAGTGCTGACAGGAAAGCTTTTCAGGTCAGAGTATTTGAGAAACTCTATAGAAATGCTACATTTGGGCTGTAATTACTGAGTGCTGTCCCCGTGACTGGCTCTGCAGTGTGAGGTATCGAGGGTTTTTATGGGCACCCCTGCAAGATAAAGACACTGTGATGAGCTGCTCTCTGAGCCTTGTAAGAAATAGGCAGGTTCTCTATTGCTTGTGCTGAGCACAGGTAACTGCATTTCCTTGCACCCTGCTCCTGCAGAACCTGGAGGTTCTGCCCCATGCCAGGTTCCCCTCTGGCCACAGAGGGCTGGGCACCCACACCCTCCCTGTGCTACAGTGAATTTTGCCAGCATTGTGCACTGCACTGCTCACACTGGCATGGAGGGATGAAAGGGAATGGGGTGTGTGGAGCCTTCCTGCAAAAAGAGGTTTTGTCTTTTTCTTCTTTTTTCTTTTTTTTTTGGGATTCCTTTGCTAGATGCAGGACTCTGCCCACACTGCAGAGAGGCAGCTGAGGTGAGTGCAGCCCCCAGTCCTTGCTCAAGCACCAGGATCCCCTCAGCTGGCAGTGGGCATGCAGGAGACTCACAGGCAGCAGCACGAGGGGTTTTCTGTCTCCTCCCCAGCAGCAGAGGAAGTGTTGCTGTGGGCTGAGCTCTCCTTCCCTTTGCATCAAGCTGTGACATCCTCACTTTGCCCTTTGGCTTTCCTTAGGACACAGCAGCAGCTTCACCTGGAGCTTTCTGGGCTCAGGCTGTGACTGTATCCTTTCCATGGGGTTCATTTTTGGTGTCTAGAACCCAAACTGATTGATGATATCTGCACACACAGGTTGCACATCCAAATCCTGCTGCTGGAAACAGCCCCCTCCATGCGTGAGGCTCCACAAATTGGTGTGGGAGTCAGGTCCAGAGACCCAGCTCCAGTCCCTGGCTTAGGTGAACCTGGTTTCTGTCACTCCAAAACACTGACAGAGGTCCTGTTAAAGGAAGATACACAAACCTTGCCTTGTCATCCTTGGCTGAGCTGTCAGGCATATTTCAAAGCAGGATTTGGGGTTTCCCAAATTGCTCCTCCTGGCTTTTGGAGAGAGCTGGGAGATGTTTGCAGGAGATGTGAGTGACTGTGTGTTGCTGACCTGCTTTTGTCTGAAATGGACAGATGGGGGATGGAGCAGGCTGAGATGGAGCCCTCCTGACAAGAAACACCCCAAGGCAAGCTGGCTGCCAGCCCTCTGCCCTGAGAGGCCCTTCCCACAGCATGCACAGATTAAACACAATTAAGAAATAAAAGCACTAAAAGAATAAGGAAAAATATAGATTATATAAAAAGTCTCCAGCACTGAGGCATCATCTGACCACAGGGAGAAATCTCCTGTACAGAGCAGTCACTGTTTATTGCAGCCCCTACAACTGCAGCAGAAGAGCTTTGTATCTGAAAGTTGATATTAAAAAGCTTGGCACCTATGAAACATGCACCTTCCTTTGCTAGTCCATTGTCAGTTCCTGTGAAATACAAGATCATGTACATATATGAATATTTCATTTGACAGTGATGAAGCTTTATATATTAAGTCAATGTTAGGCTCGTGGGAACAATACTACAGAGTAGTGAGATGAGAATTTGGTACCCAGTGGCTACCACTTAATTTTAGTGTGAAGCATGAAGACAAACAATGAGTTAAATTTAATTCCAACCTTTTGAAAGTGGTTTTGGGTATGTGTTGTGCTCAAATTGAAAATTAATTTTTAGTTTATAGGTGGTAATGATTTATCAAGGCTCTTCCCTCTGGGAAACAGAAATCATAGCAATTCATGTACTAATTTTATCCCAAATTACAGATCAGAAGTTATTTATTTTGCAAATAGTGAGGTTAAATCAAGAAACTTTTTTTTTTTAATGTGGTAATTTTTTTTATCACAATCCACATTGATGTAAAATGATGATATTTCCAACCCTTAATATGTGTGGTCTTTTTTTTTATGAGTCAGTAATTTAGGCAGCCATTTTGTGTTCAGTGAAAAAAAATGAAACCAAGAGGGGACATCCACTGCAGGCTTCTCCTGAGGACTCTGCCTTTGGATTTGACTCTGTTATGGTTATTTTACTGCAGAGATCTGTCAGTGTGGCTGCTGCTTTGTCTTGAACATGGGGCTGTGGATTCAGCCACAACAGCCAGAGCACAAACCCAGCAGCAGCTTGTGTGATTCTACATCCAGAGTTTTCACTTGGTGCTTTTTGCTCTGACGAGAGCTGAACACACTCAGGAGGGAGAGCCCAAGGCTTGGGACATTGCAGCAGCCTGGGCCCCCTCCCCTCTCCTCCCAAACCCACTCGCCGTGCACCTCGTCCTGACACCGATGCCTTTCCCTTCCCTACCCTCCCCAAATTCCCAGAGCTATTAACTGGGTCACGGGAGCTGCTCCCAGTCCAGCAGTTTATCTAATTGCCTTTTTATAGTATAACGTGCAACTCTTCATTATCCTGTCAGGGCTGCCTGGCGGGGAGGGGGGATGAGGAGGCAGAGCTGGGATGAAGGCGCTGCTGTGCAGCCTCTCCAGCCTCTCTGTGCAGCATTGCTGCTGCTGCAGGGGTGCCTTGGGCCTGCCCATAAACCCAGGAGCTGCTTTTGGCAACGGCTGCAGGAAGGTGGAATGACTTCCATGTCCTGGGGTCACCTCCCGAGGTGCACATGTACCTGCCCAGAGGGGTGGCTGCTGCTCCAGGAGCGCCTGGGCTGAGCCGGGTGGGTTCTGTTCTTTGGGCAGATGTCACCATGGGATTTTCTTGGCTGTTTGGGCAGAAGGTGCCCCTCAGCCTTCCTGTCTGTGTTGGAGGTGCCCTGTAGCAGGTTAGGGGGTGTGGGGAAATACGGTGGCATAGGCCAGGAGTCTGAGCAGGAATCAGGGGGTTGCACAGCTGCCTTTGGACACCCACTCTTTTCCTGAGTGTTACAGGGGAGGGTGAAGGTGAACACTCAGGATTTACACACTCCCTTTTTCATGTGGTCACAATTTGCAGTCTAGAGTGTTTGTAGCAGCTCACAGACCCCCAAAGCCCTTGAGAATCAGATCCTGCCTGAGCAGTGAACTAGCAGTGATGCCCACCCTTCCCCAAATATCTGCACCCTTGTGCCACTGGCACCGCTCTGTGCTGCCCTGGAGAGGGCTGGTGGTGAGGGATTTAGAAAGATAACACACCCAAGATTTGCCCTCCTGGCTTGCTTTAAATGATTTTTGAGCACAAATAGCTCTTTTCCCTCAGTTTAATAACCAGAAGACCCAGCCACAACCCTCGCGAGCCTGGTGTGGAGAGATAAGGCAGAGCTGCTCCTCCAGCTCGGATGTGCCTGGGGAGGATGCTGGGGTCAGGACGAGCTGCTCCCCGCAGGAGCAGGGCTGCACACCCCTAGGGCTGCTCGGGGGGCCCGGGAGACCCTCGGCCCGCCCCGGGGAGCGGCTGCAGAGAAAAGCAGACAGTGCCAGAGCCCCCCGGCTCCAGCGCTGGCAGAGGGGAGGCTGCGGCTCGTTCGCGGGTTCGCTCTCGCCTTTTATCTTCGGCTGAAACCATTTGCAGCCCAAACGCCCCCCTGAGAGCCGCTAACCTTTGCATAAGGTTTGGCATCGTTATCCTGCTTGGGTTAATTGGGAGTTAGGGAGAGCCCAGGAGCGACGCGGCTGCCTCCATCCATCCATCCGTCCGTCCGTCCGTCCGTCCGTCCGTCCACCCGCACCTCCAGCCTTCCCCGACGCGCTGAGGGCAGCGATAGGGAGAGAAGCAGAGGTAAATGCCCCGACCCTCCTCTCCATCTCTCCGGGTTTTCCTCTCTTCCTCTTTCTGTGCCCCGTAGCCCTTCCCCCCGCTCCAGTTTTTGTGCTTTCTGCCCGATTTCAGCCGTCGGTAGTGGTTCGGGGGGAGAGGGGAGAAAGTCTTTCTATTTTTCCAGCCGCTGCTGCAGAAAATCTTTTTCTCCCTCTCCTGGAGCGGGGCAGGAGCGAGCCGGTGTCCCGGCGGCAGCAGAGGGAGCCCGGGGGTGTTCCCAGCCGGGCAGGGGGCGGCGGGGGCGGTTCCGAGGTCCCGGCAGTGCCGGGAGGGGAGGCGGCTGCGGGCTCAGCTCCCCGTGCTAAAACCGGGGGGACACCGCGGCATCCCTGCTCCAGCATCCCTGCTCCAGCATCCCTGCTCCGGCATCCCTGCTCCTGCTTCCCTGCTCCAGCATCCCTGCTCCT